TAAGCTTTTACATGAGCCATCATCAGATGTGGTTATATGACTCGTGAGCTGAAAGCTTAGATCGAGGAATAGCATAATAAAAAATATCCAAAAATTGGACAGTTTTTATCTCCTATTTTTATTCTCTTGAAGCTCCACTAAAAGCTTAGAAATGGCTCATGATCAAACATAGTTTTTGTTGTCTGTTATATTTAATAATACATTATTGAATAATGATTCTCCCAATATATATATATATATATATATATATATATATATATATATATATATATATATATATATATATATAAAGAAATATAGTCCATATTTATGGGATAAAGTGCAATATCAGAGATAGAGCGTGTAAATAGTGAACATAGAATCAACACTTAGAGGCGACAGTCTGTTTCATCATGAAATCAATCAATATATTTTTCATATAATATTTTTGCTGTTATTTTTTATTTATATATACAGGTTAGTGGTGCATTGTAGGTATTCTATTATGGCGGTTATTTTTACCGGAAGTCGCTTTGTTCATTTATTTTACCACTAACCCGTATATATATAAATAGCCATTTAAAAATAACAGACACGTGGCCTAATAGATCTGACTGTCCCCCTAATATATATATATATATATATATATATATATATATATATATATATATAAGCTTTTTTTATTAAATTCAACCAACCAAGTCAGTTAGTTTAATTGTTTTATTTTCTTTTTGTATTTACCCAATTTTTGATTAAATTTTATCACTGGTCATATGAGTACAACACTCTCTTATAGGTTAACTTGTCACTTATCAAAACTTAGTGCAGTAGTGTAGTACACATTTACCATTGCATCACAAGCTACAAAAATGTGACTTAACATAAGTCAAATATTAGTTGATATAACACTCATTGTAACAAAAAACTTAAAAAGAAACAAACATTAAATGAAATATTTTTCACCACAGGAGATGGTATTTTAAAATATGTCTAAAATATTTAAAGTGCATATGAAATGTCTAAAATATTTAATATATTCATTTTTTCACTTTGTCAAATTCTGTGATACATTTCTGTGGATATGATATCACTTATAACATACATTTATTTAAATTTAAAATGTAGCATCCTAAAAATATCAGGATGCAGATAACATAAATTTTGTCTACAAGAATGGCAGCATTTATTACGTAACAGTGGCTGAGGTGGCTGAAGTACTTAAACGAAAGCATTATCAACAATTTTGTTTTTGATGTGCAACAACTTAGTTGAAAATTGGAAAAATAAAATGAAACCAACAGATCCCATTGGTTGAATTTAATAAAACTTATTTAAAAGAAATTCTTACTGTCTCTAATGAGTGGACTGAATGATTACACAAAGGTTTGTTTACAAAACTCTGGAGTCAAGGTGCTGAATATAACATCCATCAACTAAGTGACAAATTTTAATTTGTATTAATCCTATATATATATATATATATATATATATATATATATATATATACATACACTAACATGAATATAATTTTGTGCACAAGTTGAGTTAGTCCTATCATTCTTCCAGGTTATAGGTGATCATGGCTCTCCACAACTTCAACAAAAGACAGGAAGTTCTATAAAAAAAATATTTTCTGTGTTATTTTGTGCACTCCGTTTTTTTGGGAAATTAATTTAAAAAGTTTTTCAAATGCAAGTATAATGCTAAAAGGAACCAATACTTTGTGTGCATTTTTTGTGCAGTAGCAAGTCTTGCTTCTTAGTTCATCTGTTATTTTAAAATACACATGCCTTAAAATGATAAAATGCATTTTCTGCACAACTTGGAATTCAATTTTATGGTGTTATGAAAAGCTTTCTTGCTTAACTTCAAACTTAATTCAATAAAATAAACTATTTACTTTTAAAACATTTGAAGTTTAAAATGACATATTTGGATTTCAGATATTGTAATTGAACTCTCTCTTCAGATCCATTATGCTCTCTTCTGCTTTAAAACTAGAATTTTCTTGAAGATCAAAAATTTTCCAAATAAGTGAAGGTCATTTTCATAAAGAGCAGAGGAAATAACATTTAGAAATTAAAACACTAGAAAAAGAATGTGATATATATATATATGCTCAAAATGATATCAGAGCAATACAAATACAGAAGGATGTATACCTGTTTTATATATTAAGCAAAAGCGTTTTATTAAGTACAACACAAAGAGCTGCTTGAACTGCTAGGTAATATATTAGAATAATCTAGAACTTATACTAGGTGCAAACCACCTGCATATGGATAGATTATGAATTCAGTAAATATACAAAGATTGAAAGAAGCATAAGACAAGGATGTATCTTCTCACCAGACTTATTCAACCTTTATGGTGAAGTGATTCTGAGAAAGTTAAAAGACCTACCAGGATTCATTATTGACAGCCACAATTTTAATGACATAAGTTATGCAGATAACACAGTATTGATAGCAGACTGAGAAAGGAAACTGCAGGAAATCCTGGAGACAGAAGTAAAGGAAAGTGAGAAGATGGGGCTAAACCTCAAGAAGATGGAATGTATGGTTGCCAGCGAAAGGGACAGACCCCCACCCCCAAGATGCAAATTACAAATTGGGGATGTCAGAATCAAGCAAGTACAAAAATTCAAATATCTTGGAAGTATTCTAACAGAAGACTAAAAATGCAACACCAAAATTGAAGTGTGCATTGGAATAGTGAAATATGCCATCCAAAAGCTAAGCAAGATATTAAGAAAATGGAAAATCTAATGAAATTTTTCAGTTTAGTGAACCGTTTGGTAATATTAGTCTTCCTACATGGCAGTGAATAATGGATGAAGAGTCTTGAGGCAAAAGAAATGTGATTCTATAGAATGATGCGGAGAATACCTATGGCTGCAATTTCTCTCTGGAATAAAATTCCTCTCTTTAGATTTGACATTGCTTTGGTGCAAGACAAATGCCTCTACTTTGAAGATCTTTCGTTTTATTGGTTTCTTAGCATCTGTCGGTCTTGGGAGGCCATGGATCTGGGCAGTTTTTTTTTTTTTTTTTTTTATGAGAGATCAGTAGTTGTCCATTCAGCATGTCTCCCCTCTCCATTCTACCAATGTTGTCCAAGAGAAAGGAAGTCACTGGAATTCTGGAGCCAGAACAAAACATAACTTTGGACTTGTCTTAGGAACTCCAGATTTGAATTCAGAGTTGTCCTTCTCCTATTCTGGTTGCCAATCAGAGCCCAGACTATCCTACTATTTACCCACAGCTGGAGGTTTTGAATTCAGTTTTTCCTTCTTCTAGACCAGTTGGCACTCAAAGCTATAGAACCCAGTCTGTTCTGCTATTTACTCATAGCTGAGGGGATGGACTCATACCCTTTTCCAAGGGTATAAGCATATAAGTGAATGTAATGGACTTGACTGGAATTAGAACTTAGTTCTTGAATTCTTAAATCCAAGGCACAATCCATTACTCCGCTGTACCTCCATACCACTGGCTTAGATTATGTTTTATAGGGTTATAATAGGCCAACAGAACTTGTTTTCAAAAGAAAAATACTTAAACCAAAACTGTTGTGATAATCTTATAACTAAAATTAATATTTTATTTATACTCATTAATTTTTTTTTTTTCATTCAAGTAATAGCTGATGATTTTCACTGAAAATCAAGTGACATTTTCTTCAATGCACCAGAATTCTGTTCTCTTCTTAGTGGTTTCAGTTCCTCTTTGACTTAACAATTCTTTGCACCTTTTTGTAAGGCTTCTTTAGGATTGTTTTATGCATGCCAACAATGATGAGCAGGATTGTCACCTTCATCTTCAAAAATGTTTTCCAGTTCAATTTTTATAAGTTGGCCATTCATCCATGCATTGAATATTGCTGCCATATTTGATCTAGTGCTTCTGTTATGTATTTAGAGGTCCTTGATAAAATATGCAATATATGTCAGTACCAGTTACTTTCCCACCACCATAATGTAGCTTCCCTTTGCCTTTTCTATAAATGTTTTCATGGTAATTGTTCTGATGAACTTTCCACTTTGCTACCTAAACATTATGAATTTAAGTGCAATACTAGGTTGGCAGCAAGATCTCATTTTAAAGTTGAAATGACTATAGATGTAACTGTAAGTTCTATGCTAATAGTTTCTTCTATTGCACTTCTTGTTTTCAGAACTTTCTTCTGGCTTCTTGCTTTCCACTCAATTTTGATCTTCAAAAATTTAAATGTAATGTCAATTGTTATTTTCTGTCTTCTTAATTCCTCTTCTTTTATTGTTTTCTCTGCTTAATAATATTTTCTTTTTCTCATATTCTCTCATGCTCAGTAATCTTGTGGCTTTTATTGCCTTGCTTATTTGGAAATGATTAATAAATTGTTTGGAAACGTCTAAATATTCTTACAGCTTTTCACTTTTTTCAATTTTGCTCTGTTATCTGAAAAATGTTTCTTACAATATAATTCAGTCTTCTGTCTTGAAAGCAGTGAGCCATTTGAATCTCAGAGTTGACTAATTTTTTTTAATTCTCTAACCTGAGGATATTATTATTAGTAGTATGTATTTAAAAATTGGAGTTAAAGTCCTCATTAATTTTCGATGTAAAATTTCATGAAAATTACTCAGGTGTTTCTGAATTGACACAGCTTCGTCTCCCAGTTCTACACACAGACACACAACTAACACATGACAAGCACACACACACACCAACATACACCTGACAAAGACACGAACATAGAAATTCTTGAACATGTTCCGTCTGACTTTTCTCTGCGTGGGAGTGGTGGTAAAGTGTTAAAATGTCTCACACTTTTTATTTTATTTTTTTTTAAATTTTATCTCTTCATTTCACCTCCTCCATTTCACCCACCATTGTCATATATGTTCACTCGACCTCCTATCTCTCTTCTATAATCTGCCTCCTTCCTTCCTGCTTCCCACAGCACACCTCCACCCCGGCATTGCTTCCTTTCTCTCGACGCCCTGCCTTTACTCACTAATTAATACCTCATCTCTGAAAATGTTTTCACCACAAAAGTCGCAATGGTGTCGTAGTTCTCATCAGAGCCAACCAGAAAACTGCCGATCGTTTTTTTGTTTTTTCTTTTTCTTTCTTTTCTTTCTCACTTTCAATTATTTATTTTTATTATTTTATTTTTGGTCACGTTTTTCCTGGGTTTTACTTTACTCTACCAAATCAAGTACACTTCACCGGAATTGTACAATCCCTGTTGCCACTTGCCACAAGCAGGTTTTCATTTTGCTTCTTTCTTTCTTTCTTTTTTCCTGTCTTTTTTTCTTTCTTTCATTCTCACTCTGTATCTCAAGATCACTCTACCTATTTCATCTTTATCCTTCTATCTTTCCTCTCCATCTTCCTATCTTAATTGCTCTCTCAATCTACTGTCATTTTTTTTTATTACATGTTTTATCTCTCTGCCATTTTGTCATTATTTTCTCCAAGATTTCTCACTTAACTTCTCACTTTATTTCTTCCTTTTATTATCTCTCTCTCTCAATTATCTATCTCTCACAGTCTGCTCATTATCTGTCTATCTCTCTCAGTCTGCTCAATATCTGTCTCTCTATATCAGTCTGTTCATTATCTATCTCTCTCAGTCTGTTCATTATATATCTCTCTCAGTCTGTTCATTATCTATCTCTCTCATTCTGTTCATTATCTCTCTCTCTCTCTCTCAGTCTGTTCATTATCTCTCTCTCTCTCTCAGTCTGTTCATTATCTCTCTCTCTCTCTCTCTCTCAGTCTGTTCATTATCTCTCTCTCTCTCTCTCAGTCTGTTCATTATCTCTCTCTCTCTCTCTCTCTCTGTTCTGTTCATTCTCTCTCTCTCTTGTTCTGTTCATTATCTCTCTCTCTCTCTCTCAGTCTGTTCATTATCTCTCTCTCTCTATGTCTGTTCATTATCTCTCTCTCAGTCTGTTCATTATCTCTCTCTGTGTCTGTTCATTATCTCTCTCTCAGTCTGTTCATTATCTCTCTCTCAGTCTGTTCATTATCTATCTCTGTCTGTTCATTATCTCTCTCTCTTTGTTTCTGTTCATTATCTCTCTCTCTCTATGTCTGTTCATTATCTCTCTCTCTCTCTCTCTGTGTCTGTTCATTATCTCTCTCTCTCTCTGTGTCCATTCTCTCTCTCTCTCAGTCTGTTCTTTATCTATCTCTCTCAGCCTGTTCTTTATCTATCTCTCTCAGCCTGTTTATTATTTATCTCTCTCAGTTCATTTATTACCTATCATTTTCTTCTCTTTCTTTTTAACTTATTCTCACCTTAAGACTTTATTTAAGTCTTTCTTTAATTGTATGTGCTTCTCCCTATCTCTCTCTCTCTCTGGATTCTTTTGTTCATCCTTCATTCACTTACCTTAA